ACAGAATCTTGCCAAACTAAATCTATACTACAGCAACTAGTGGATATACCCTGGGAGATTCGAGGGAGGGGCTGTCCTGCATCTCTTTCTCTTCTCATGCTCCCCCTGCGGACTGTGTTGTCTTTTGTCTCCTTTCCCCTGCTGGAATGCACACCCTCCTTCCCGATAGCCTTGATCTCCCACATCCCTCTCCTCCTCGTAGATACATTCCATCACAGAATCTTATGTACAAAGCAGGTGAAACCCACATTTTCTCCTCTGAGACCCATTTTTTTTTAACTTAACAGGCTACCAAAAGTTAAGGATACTTTATACATGGACATAGCCAAAAGAACCATTCTAAACATGAACAGGATAAGTCTACATCTGACCTGAAGCATTGGACTGTTGTCATGTGCTCTATGTCAATATTTAAATTAGTCTATTTCTAGTGGAAAACAAAAAAGAGGATTTTTGAAGAATATTGGTATATTTTCTTTAGTCGTGCTATGTAATGGTTACTTGGTATCTTTAAAACACATAGATTTCTAATATTTGGATAGTTTTGAACCTGACAAATGATATTTGTTCTTATAATTACTATTACTACCCAGCTAGGTGGCAGCACCAGCCAACTTTGGCTGGTCTCAAAAAGTTAAAACAGTATCAGACCTGGTAAGTACTTGGATAAGAGACCACCAGGAACTTCCAGCTTTGGGCTAAACTAGAAAGTTGAAAAAAACAATTTGGCAAAAATGGACAGGGAAGAAAGGCACCTCTAGCAGCCAACCGCTACCCCCAGATTACTCTTCTTTCAGAGGACACGGCTACTCCGTGTGCTTCAGAACAAAGCACGAAGGCTGTAGCCATCTGTGATCATTTTCATCTTCTAAGAATGCCTTTGGGGACAGAAGGATCCCTATACATAAAGATGATAGCTGCTGGCTAGCATTTTACTTGTTAGATAAAAACATCCATAAATAAACAAACTTTTAAAAAAATATCAAGGCAGGTGAGAAGCCTGGCAGACACCAATTTAGACACCATATGCTGTAAGGTACTATCTTAGAAATACAGAAGACTGTTTGTCTGATCAGATATTGCTGGAAGATTTGCATGCAGTGTTATTTTAGTGACAGTTCAGCTAGGATGTTGCTTATGCTTATCACTGGGCAGAAACAGAGGGATAGAAAGGAGCAAAGAGGATCCGCATCCTTTATATGCATCATACAAAAAGCCCAGACTAGGCACCAGTTGCTTGGAAACTGGTTGCTAAGCAAGCTCAATTCTGAAGAATAAGAGATGTATAATTAGCTTTTTTTTTTTGCTTTTTTTTTTTTGGTGGTTAGTAATTACCGTCTGAAGTCACTGTGACACTCGTGTGGGGTATGTGTGTTCCAGGAAAGCAAACTGTAACTCCTCATTGCGTTTCTAGCCCATCTCAGCAATGAGTATTAATGCTCTGGGTACAAGAGAGAAGATGCTTGTGACCTTGCTATTGAGTTCTTCAAAACAATTTTGATCCAGAGAAATCTTTTGCTATTGTTGTTGAGATATGAGTCACGACAGACCTTAATCAGGAAATTCGAAATGGTTACAATTATAATTAACAGGAACAAGAAAGGGTCAACTTCTGTAATCGAAGCTAAAGCCTATAGTTATTCAATAATTGAGAAATTACTATTTCATGGGGGGAAAGGCCAAGAAGAATTCAACAACTGGAATGTAACCTACTAAACATTATGCTCATTTTAAGCATAAGAATTCATATTTACATAAACTGAACTACTGAGTTCTAATTAACCACACAGTGGAAGCTGTGTTTTTGTATCAGTAGCCTTGTATCTTTTGACTTCTGTATGAGAAGAAAACAAAATGAAAACCAAGAATCAGCCTCTTCTTCCCATTTCCAACATCAGTTTTTTGTTGGAGCTACTCTGCAGAAATCTCACCAGCAAATTGGTACAAAGTAGACCATAGGCATCCTGTAGAACAAATTCATGCACGTTTCCTACTAGCTGGTCCCAGCTGAATCCAGCCTGTCTTAATTTCAGTGAGGCAAATACACAAGAATGAAAGTTTTAAAAGATTTATTTAAACAATATTAAACTTACAGTCCTTCATTGTAAGCCAATGAAAGAGAAAAGTAAAAAGTTCTATGCAACAAAACAGAAGAAAGGGATTCAGTGGTAGAATTAAATAATCTTCACAATTTCTCAAACAGTTGCTCATATACCTAAACTTCCTGATCATCACCTAGTGAACTGCTCAACTTGAATCTTGAACTTATTTATGTTAAGATGCTGAAGCCTCTGTGGCTAAGAAAAGCAAATTTATGCTTAACAATGTTTACTAGGCTGAAAGGCCTCTTTCTATCAAATTCTTATTCAGTAAATCAATAATTTCCCCTTCAATATGAATATATTGTATGAATATACTTGTCTATAAATAATAATATTGTGCAGGACAATTTGAGCATATTTTTTGTAGTCCCTCCCAACCATTTTACTTTTCAGAAATAGTGAAGTTAAATTTAAAGGCTGCAGGAAAGAAAAAGGCGAATATGGTTTGGATAGAGATAATGTTACCAATGTGTCTTGTTTGCCTCTTATTATAAATTCAGTAAAACAGACATTCCTGAGAAAAATAGTCCTTGAGGTTATAAGTCACATCAACATGTCCTGCAATCATGGTCAGATTTTCTCCTTTGTTTCCTTTTTTTTTCAAGCCGCTATTGGCGTAGATGGAATCGATTCTGCAGACGAAAATGTCGAGCTGCTGTCAAATCCAATGTGTTCTACTGGCTTGTGATCTTCCTTGTGTTTCTCAACACACTCGCCATTGCCTCTGAGCATTACAGCCAGCCAGACTGGCTCACTGAAGTCCAAGGTAAGAAGAGGCAGTTAGCACTGTGCAAACAGAAACTGCAGTAAGTGTGCATGGCGTAAAATCATTTGATTGCTTAAGCACCAGAAATAATTAATTACAAATGTCAAAACTAATTAAAAGTGCATAAAATATATATCTGTATTTTCTAACATTCCAATAATTAATTTAATGAATGTATATCTTCTCAAAACATTTGGTATTCTATTGCTTTTTGCAATTATTTAATAGACATCAAGAAGAAAATAAGATAATAAAAAATGCAATAATTTCAATCCTGTATTCCAAGTTCTGTGCATAGAGTTGCTTCTTTAAGCAATGCTACCTTTTGATTTATTTGTATGACAGTATAAACCACAAGGACATGTATAAGGCTAAGGCATCATAATAATGAAAAAACTTCTTGCAGTTGAGTGCAATAGGATCAGCTGATTAATGTTTGAGAATGAAAAGATCTTGTGGAGCTTTCAAAACTTAATATGCTTGTTGGGGCCTCCAGGTTCGAGAGCAGAGATGGCCAAATGTTTGAACCCAGGAAACTATCTTCTATCCCACCATCATGTCATTGGTTTCTTTCGCCAGCAGCTAGACTAGGAAGAACACATTCTATCTCCTAGCTCAAGATATTAACAGAGGGGTTTGAAATATAAGAAATTGATCTTGGAAATATGTTTTTAATCAAACTGATATAATTCTTGGAACTAGGACAAAAGCAGGGTATAGCCTTTCCCCTTCTACTGCTGCTTATTGTGAGTCTGAATTGTTTTTCAGTTTCATATCTAAAAGATCTTCCTTCCCCCAGGAATTAGAAATGAACCTCTTGTGGCTTGTCTCTCAAGATAAGTAATATGCCCCATATGCTCCTAGTCTACCACAGAGGGGGGCTTAAAGTGGGAACCAAATGGAGCCTTTGATCCACTAATTTCCCATTCCTATTGCTTTGGACTTGTGCCTTTTCACATTGACCAGTATACCAAATAACTGCAGTATATCTGCTATATCTAATAATGTTGACTTAATGCATATCTAGAGTTTATTTGGGCGGGTGGGAGAGACAAAAAACTTGTACAGGTAGTCCTTGCTTAACGACAACAATTGGGGTCGGAATTTAGGTCACTAAGCGATGCAGTTGTTAAGCAAATCATCACATGACCGGACCCAATTTTATGACCTTTTTTGCGGTCGTTAAGCAAATAACTGTGGTCATTAAGTGAATCATGTGGTTGTTAGGCGAATCACACAGTCATTAAATTGAATCATGTGGTTCCCCAATGATTTTGCTTGCCAGAAGCCAGCTGGGAAGGTGACAAATAGCTATCACATGACCCGGGATACTGCAACCGTCTTAAGTGCAAGCTGGTTGCCAAGCTCTTGGATCATGACTGCAGGGGTGCTGCGACAGTCGTAACTTCAGACACCAGTTGTAAATCATTTTTTTAGTGCTTCAAACGGTCACTAAACAAACAGTCGTTAAGCGAGAACTACCTGTAGTTTTGAATTAATTTATAACAGACTTTAGTGAATCTAGATCAAGATGAAATTTAGCTACATCCTATATTATAGAAATGAGATAAAAGCAGAGAACTTACCCCAAATTGAACATTCAGTTTTAATACTAAATTTGTCCTCATATTTGAAATCCCCCTTCCCCTAAAGACTTGCAAAAATGTAAACATACAGGTAAAGTTTTCTATAGATTGCTGAAGAAACCATTCCAAATGATAAAAATCTTATTTGGCATTTAACCTTTAAAGATTCATACTTTTGTTCTTAGCATCTTTTGGCTGAACTAGTCTTTCAGTGCCACTATAATGATCATTATTTGTTTATTTATTTTTTTATGAGACACTGCGAATAAGGTATTGCTGGCTCTTTTCACGGCTGAGATGCTGCTAAAAATGTACAGTCTGGGTCTTCAGGCTTACTTTGTGTCCCTCTTCAACCGCTTTGATTGTTTCATCGTGTGTGGTGGAATCCTGGAGACCATCTTGGTGGAAACAAAGATCATGTCCCCACTTGGCATCTCCGTGCTGAGATGTGTACGACTACTAAGAATCTTTAAAATCACAAGGTATATGATTTTTTTTTTAACGTTCAATGGAATTGATAGGGGGTGAGAGAAAGATCACCTACTGCTATGTGGAAATGTGTGCAGGAAGATTGTAGACAAATAAGGCAAATGACAAATCTGCCACCCCTTTCCATAAATCATTCTTTCCTTGAAACTCATTTCTTGCTTTGTGATTGGTGCTGTATAAACATTTTTTTATTATTTATGTTCTTTTGCTGCTTATTTTTTTTCACTATTTTGTAGGGTGCAGTGTAAATAGGTTTCAGGGCAGCAGAGAAGAAATAATGGATTTAAAATGCATTAACAAATAAAACCACACTCAAAGTATAAACATGGCATAAAGCCAGTAAGAACTTCATAAAACTAAGATAGTTTAAAAAGTAAAATAAAATAGACTAGGTCAGCACTGACATGACAAAGCAAGGATAATCATTCCCCCCAAGGTAAGGTTAGCCCCGACTCTATTAGTCTTCTTGAAGGTTAAAGACTATGTTTAAACATGTTTATCCAGCAGCTTTCAGGATCCTATGGAAACAGGGAACCTGCAAGATGGTTCCATTGTATATAAGATGTTGGTCCATTCTCCCACAGTCCTATTTATATTTATGTTTAATTGTTTTTATGGTTGTTTAGACTTGTTTTTAACTGTTTGTTTTATTGTACACTGCCCAGAGTCACGTTTGTAATATGGGTTGCTATATAAATTTTAATCATCATCATTCTCTTTGGGAGGAGACTTTGGAGGTGGAGCAGCAGGTTTGAGAGGCCCTTTTTTCAGCCCCTCAGTTGGTGAGGACACATGCACCAGGGCCTCTGGAGAGTACAGGTAGTCCTCGCTTAACCACTGCCCTGTTTAGCAACTCTTTGAAGTTATGACTGTGCTGAAAAAGTAACTATGACCGGTCCTCACACTTATGACCGTTGCAGCATCCCTGCAGTCACGTGATCAAGATTCAGGCACTTCGCAACTGGTGGTCATTTACGAATATTGCAGCATCCTACAGGCATGTTGCATGTTTCCCAACCGGCTTGCGTCAAGCAGAATCAATGGAGAAGCTGGCAGTAAAATCACGAGTCATGGTCACGTGTTGTCTCACTTAATGACTGCATCCCTTAGCGACAGTTGTGTTTTTAATTGTGGTTGTTAAGCAAGGACTACCTGTATGTCAAAATCCATTTGCAAAATAGTATTGTTCAGATATTTTGGTCCCAAGCTAGAAAGGCCCTTAAAAGTTGAATTGGTCCTGGAAATAGCCTGGAATCTAGTGAAGGCAGTCAGGCAATGGTATGGTAAATCTCACTTGCCTATTCCCAGTTAGCCAACCCCCAGCGTTTTCTAAAATAAAATGAAATTTCTAGAAAATTTTCAAAAAACAGTCTCATCTACTAGGCATTGTAATAGATCAAATACAAAGTTCCCAGGACATGGTAGAGCAAGACTTTTCTGCTCAGCTACATAAATAGTTCTAAGACATACATGCTATTTATTGTTCTAAACTAACTAATCCTACTTCTCAAAAGACTTCTACCCTATGTAAAGCCGGCTGTATACCTTTTATTTTTAAAAGACTTTGAAAGAAAATGTCAGCTGTAACACCTATAGTAATCTGACCTCTTGGAGGCATACCAAAGGGATTAATCAAATATTTGGAAAAATGTAAATTTACCGGATTTGATACCATTGACTTTGCAAAAAATCACCTTGCTTGGAACTTGGAACTGTTCCTGCTCATTCTCTCTCCTCCACATCCAGAGGCCTTTAACTACAATGAAGGTTGTTATTCCTGGTGATTTATTAACTGTGTGTATATTGCAGCCATATAACACTGGTTCTCTGGAGGCACACAAAACAAGTATGTTAAAACAGAAAATAAAATCTTGATGCTAATAGAACTAAAACCCAGTAAATTATAGACTGTAAAAATAGAAAACCCATTGAGAATTCAGAAGACACAATGAAAACTCCTTAATCTCACAGTACATGGACAGACTCAACCATAGTTTCAACTGGGAAACTGTCAGCACCTTAGAACAAGCTAATCCAAAAAATAAAAGGGAATTCCTGGAAGCTTGATATTCAGACAAGTCAGCCATCAACAGGCACATAGAGATAAACAACATTTACCCACCATTCAAAAGTAACAATAAAAAGCTAAAAAAAGAAACAAAAAGACCAGATACCTCCTCACCAGCAATCAAAACCCAGATAAGCAGGGATTAGCACCAGGATTAACACCAGAGAAACAATCAAGCAATAAACAATACCCTAATCAAGGAACTACCAAATAAGGCAAACAATCAAGCAGTAAACAACAGCCTAATTAAGAAAATAGGAGAGCTCTCCCACCATCACCACCACCAACACTGACAGGGCAAGCTACTAGTCTGGTCTACCTTGAAGGGCTGCAGCTTTCAACACCGTTGATCATGGTATCCTTCTGGAATTGTTTCAGGAGTTGGGAGTGGGTGGCTCTGTATTGCACTGCTTCTCTTCCTTCCTTTGGGGACAGTTCCAGGCAGTGTTAATGGAAGGGGGAGAGGTCTTACCCAAGACCCTTGCTTTGCACAGTGTTCAGTACTCCCCCCACTCCTATTTAACATATACATGAAGCTGCTGGGTGAGGTCATTCGACGGCATGGGGTGAGGTATCTTCAGTATGCTCCCACCATCCAAGTGACGCTGTAGAGGTTATGGAGGTTTAGTGGCTTTGGGATCTAGGGGCCCCTGGTTTCAGATATTCTCCATCTCTTGTTCTGGATGGAATTGCACTGCCCCAAACAGAACCAGCCCCAGACAGAACCTTGACTTGCAGCTCCTGTTCAAGGGACACATAGTTTCCATGATCAGGAAAGCCTTTGTACAACTTCGTGTTGTGTGCCAATTGTACCCTTTCCTGGAACGGATGGCTTTGCCCATGGTCATTCACACCTTAGTCACCTCCCAGATAGACTATAGCAATATGGTCAACACGAGGCTGCCCTTGAAGAGCATCCAGAAGCTCCAACTGGTACAAAGTGCAGCAACATGAGCAGCTATGGGCACTTCTGTGCATGTTGCACCTCTGCTCTGCAAGCTGCATTGGTTACCAGTAGGTTTCCAGATTCAATCCAAGGTGTTGGTGATTACCTGTAAAACTCTCCATGGCATGGGACAAAGTTATTTGAAGGACCACTCTCCTGATCTTGTCTACCCGTCCAATCAAGTCTGGCAGGAGAGGCATGCTACAGCTCTTGTCCATTAGAGAGTGCAACCTGGCGGGACTCAGGAAGAAAGTCTTTTCTGTTGCTGCATGTCCCCTCGGAGTTCAGATTGGCCCTGATACCACTGGCTTTTTCAAGTCCCTGAAGACATAGCTATGTTTCCAGGCTTGAGGTGTCTGTTTGAGCCTGCAAATTAATTTTATTAACATTTTTGTATTGTATTTGTATTGATGGTAGATTTTTTTTATCTCAGCTGCCAATTGTCTATTTATTTTGACTTTTTGATTGAGTTTTTTATTGTTGTTAGCTGCCCAGAGTCACTTGTTTGACATGGGCAACCATATTTTTATTTTTATTTTTATTTTTATTTATTTCAATCAGGAGACTTCTCTCAGATTGGAAGGCTTTCCCCTTTCTCATTCTGAGTTGCACCCTTCAGCTCTATAGTTGCTAATAAATAAAATCCCCCAAATAAACTTTACAATCCTATAAATCAGAGGAAAGGCTGGTTGTATTTTTTATTAAAAGGCATAATCTTTCATGAGCTACAGCTCACTTCACCAGATGCATGGAGTTGATAAACTAATGTAGGATTTAAACTGGAATGAGAGGGTGGGGAGGAAGTGAGAAAGAGAGATTGGTTAAACAAATGCAGGTTACATGTGAGCCAGATTGCAGGTACCTTAAAAATTAACCATTGTAATGTGTTAAAGACCCATTGTGTTGGTTGTTACTTTTTGAGATAACCTGAAACCTTTTGATGTGTGTGAGTTCAGCGATCTCTCACTTAATTGTGCTGTTAAAAAAGAGACTTTAACTAGTGTATTGTCGAAGGCTTTCACGGCCAGAATACGATGGCTGGTGTGGGTCTTCCGGGCTGTGTGGCCGTGTTCTGCACAGCTCAGAAGACCCACACCAGCCATCAGACTTTAACTAGCTTGAATTCTCCTTTCTTTTGCAATTGTAATGAAGACCACAGTGCCTCTTATAAAATATTGGGTAGGAAAACTAGGGATTCAGTCTAATCATTTAACGCACACACACACCTGATGTGATAGATTGTGAAAAGCTGAGAAAGGAAAATAATGGAAGATAGAGCAGTGGCAAGTTAATTGGCAGGTTATTTCATAAGCAGCAACTGAGCCCAGGTGGGGAGAAATCTGGGGGAAAGTATCTCAAAGTATTAAAAGAGACTTCTCCTTAATTAACTCACTATAAATGAGGCTGGGAAATTCATATTCGGGTTTCCAACATTCTTTATTAACCCCAGATAATTATTAAAGTTACCTTAATGAAAACTGCTCCCTTGGTCTTGCCCAAGTATGTGGGGCTTGACACTTGGAGATAATTCTTAGGACAGAAACAATGCAATACTCAAATAAAATATTATATTTATTTACAACTCTAAGATAAGGATCCTGATGTCCAAGGGAAAATCTCCATGTCTTCCATACATCTTAAAGTTGCTAAAGTTGAGAAAGTCTGATCTAAAGTAAATAAATAAAAACCTAACTTCAGGAGGATTTTTTTTTTTCGGGAATACCTTATTCCCTTCCTAAAACCTTCAGATTTTTGTTTTTCCATAGTGAAAACACAGATTGACTTCCAGGTTTCAGAATTATGCTGTGCTCTGTTATGGAATTATGAACAAAATGAAGATCAGCTGATGTTTTATCATTCTTTCCACGTGCTTAGAAGCTAGAATCATCCCTTTTGCCAACAGATGGAGCTCATATATGGTGTATCCCCATGTTGGTATAGCAATAAAGTAGTATTCCATAATTTCTAGGGTATGTTTTGGGGGCAGAAGATAGGGAATTATTTTCCCCCTTGCTGTGCTGTACTGTAAGCCATGAACAGAACTAGAAAATGAGAAGTATATGCGATAAGTTGTGTGATAAACACAACTGTTCCTAGCAGCCCACAAGACACCAGGAAGACATGTATCAGCAGTTTCTTTTTCTTTTTTTTGGTTCCTCTGTGGTGTCATGCTGAGGGCCACATAAACAAAAATATGTTGATATGGTATTATGGAGACTGTATGGTATATCCTACAATCCCCAGAGTTCATGATGCCATCATAACCTAGAACTCATGTGAGGCTGCAAAGAAGGTATAAATAAGATATATCTCCCCTTGGCCAAGGAAGGTGCATTGAATCATCAAATTTCAGCATTTTCAGAAGTTGAAATGATGGAACTTATGACTTGGAGATAGTGGTGTTTGGATTGCTTTAATCTGGATTCCTGAACTGAGCAAGGGGTTGCTATGATTCTTTAATTTTCAGTGAAGCCAGTTTTAGTCAATTGACAAAGATAGCAAAGATACATATATATCAATCCTGTCCTTGTGGTAAAAGCATCTTTGTAATTAAATTAATTTCATGACCACAAAAGGGAAATTGCTTGTTACAAATCTGAACCTGTCCTCTTTCTTTTTTAAAGCCATGAGGCATACCTCCATGGTTGGTGCATCCTTTCCTTCATCAGAGCTTAAGTAGTTGGAGACAGAAAGTAGGACCTTTTTAGCACTGAGGATCTTGATTTGGAATATTGTACCTAAAGACATGCATCTAGAACTGCCCTTGTTGAGTTTTAGATTCCAGATTATGATATTATGTTTAATCAGTTTTAGTATATAGGTAGTCCTCGCTTAATGACCATTCATTTAAGTTACGAGGGCCTCAGAAAAAGTGGCCTGTACTCGTACTTACAACTGCCGCAAACTGTCACACTACCCCTGCAATCATGTGATTGCAATTTGTGACCTTTTATAATGGTCGTTAAGTGAATCATCATGGTCGTTAAGCAAATCACATGTTCATTAAATGAATCATATGGTCGTTAAATAAATTCTGGTAAAAAAAATCCATGGGGAAGTTGGATTTGTTTAATGACCACATGATTTGCTTAATGACCACATGTTTCACTTAACAACCATCATAAAATTGGTCATAAGATGGGGTCTGGTCAAGTGGTGACTTGCTTAATGACCACCCCACTTAATGACCAGTTTTCCAGTCTCTATTGTGGTCATTAAGTGAGGACTACCTGTACAGCAATTGGTATATTTTAACTGCTCTCTGTCTGGGTTTTATTGTGCAATTTTACTCTCCATTTACATCCCGCAATTCTAGAGGTATTTTATTAACTATATTTAGGGAGGTTATGGGATTACTGTATATTCTGTTAATATTTTTCATGTTTGTTGACTTAAATATTTTTAAGCAGTACAGTATAAGCAATTAATTAAATATATAAAGAACTGAAAGTTGAGTTTGTAAATACTAAGATCAAATGTGAGATAGCCTTAGAATAAACATTAAAGTGGTTCCACATAATTTGCCCAAAAATGCCCCCTATACACAAACCAGATTTTAAGCCAGTCTACCCTTGATTCCAGCCTCTTCTCCCATATGTTCTTCTACATTCTTGGTGAGATAGATTCTGGAGGGAGGTGGCTCTGAAGAGATGAAGTATTGGCATGAGGTTGGATAGAATGCATCTTACTGAAACACTACCTATAGATTATTGCATATTTTTAATAGTAATTTTATTAAAGATTGTAATTACAACAGTAAAAACTAATACAAACTGAAAAAAATAGAAAAATAAAAAGAAAGAGTAGAAGGTGAGAAAAGAAAGGAAAAAGGGGCGAAATAGAGGAATAGAAAAGAAAAAATAAGAATATAGTAAAGAAAAAGAAAAGAAATATATAAAGAAGCGGCTTCCCACCTTCATTACAAGTATAAACAATTTTAGTAACTTAGCACCTTCTCTTAAAATACAGCAAAC